AGTTCTTTAAAACACCTTATGCTACTTTTTGTTGGTGTTGTTATTTATAAAAAAAAGTGAAACATTTAGGAAGAGCTGCACAAACTACAGACCCTTTTTTCAAGGAGTGACTTTGACACTTATTGGTACCTAGCTATTCCTTGTCTGTTTGGTGGCAGCCGCAGTGCTAACGTCGAAGTTCACAGCAGCCCTTTCCAGTGGTGCCCAAGAACGTGCTGGCCAGCAGCTGGTCCCACCGCTAAGGCCTGAGCAGCAGTGCCGCCGATGCCCTCGGCTCTGCTGGGCTGCGCACTGGTGAAGCAGCCCTTGGGTTGTTTTTTTTTTTTTTAAACTTATCATCATCTTCTGCGTTCTTTTATGAAAGTGCTGGACATACCAACTGCCACCTCACATGCAAGGTGCATGTTTGCTCTGCTGACGAGGGATCAGCTGGGCTTTTTGGTAATGTGACAGGAGGAAGGTGGGTGGTTGTCAGGCACAAGCTGGGGCTTAAGGGAAATGGTAACAGTGAGCTGCAGGCTCCCTGGGCTACGTGCGCAGACCATAGCAAGTGCAGCATCATGCGTGCAAGCAAGCATGACCTGCTGAGACATTGTGGGCTGTGGCAAGGGGGCCACAGCTATATTTATGTTCAGTGCCACTTCACATGGACAGGCCAGAGGTGAAATACCACAGCTTCGCTAAGGCTTAAAGAAATCAGAAACACTCAAGAGTGAGGCTCATAAACCTGTGTTTCAAGGAAAAAAATAGAGTCTCTTTTTGCAGGTAGATGATGACTAGAGAGAGACACAAAAGGCACAGATCCCTGTGGGGTACTATAGCAAGGGGAAGCTGTACAGGAGCACAGCAAATCTGGCAAACCAGAAGACAGTAGGAAGGAGCAGGGTCATACTATGCTTTGTAGCCTGTTTATTTGTAGTAAAGCTATTACAAAACCAACAAGGACTCTGAGCGTTCTAAATGAAAAATAAAACTCACCCATGTCAGAATTGTGCCAGAAATCTCTAGCCAAGTTCAGTTAATAACAGCTGGGAGATGCTCCTGAGGCCAAAAGCTTGTGCTTAGCTTGCTGGAGAGATGTGGCTAGTCAAGAGTTTTGGGTTCCGAGAAGCTAGTGACACTGAGGAGGGCCCGTCCTGGCAGGCTGATCCCAGGGCTGCACGGGCTTTGCCCGCACATCCGGTCCCACAGGAAAGCCAGGCAGTGTTTTGTGAGCCTCGTTGCCAACTGCAACAGAAGGAGTTGGCTGTGTGCACTCACAAACGCGTTCTCGGCTGCACTCTGACTACCTAGGCTGTCATTTCACGGAGCACGACACCCAGGGAGAGAGTGAAGTATTCAACTGTGCAGCCAAGAAGCCTGAGGCAGCTCTGAACATAAGCTGGAAATGAAACCGCAGGGGCGTGAGGCGATGCCTCCTGCCCACCGCAGCCCCTCGTCTCCCTGCTGGCACGAACAGCTGGAATTCAGCTTCGCTGAGGCGCAGGGCACAATGTCCAAGACTGAAAAAGGAGGACTGGACTACTGGAGAGAGTTAAGAGGTTTCTGAAGAATACAATAATTGAGCAAAGAAACAAACCCTCATGCTGTCCCGGATGCATTTGAAAACTTTCAATTTTAGTAGCAATTTACTAGCGAGTTACTGCTAAGTGGGCCACCCCAGGCACCAGCACACTCTCCAAGAGTCGCTTTTGTGGGTTTCTGCACATCAACTAACAGCAGCAAGAGAACAAACTAACTCCCTCCAGTCAGAAAGCCAGGGAAAGGATATTTTATTCTCCGATATGTTATCTAGCCAAAATAAAATAGATTTTTCTGGACTTGGTCAGCTCCCTGCAAATGCAGCTTCTCTTCCCACTGGTCTCTTGGGAACAGCACAGGGTTACGGGGAAAGAGACAACTCTGCTTCCTGCAGCCACAAACTGCTTCAGGTGCGGCTCCCCTCGCTCCCAGCACACGCCATCAGCCTGACTGCCCGGGGAGAGATCAGGCATGTCCGCAGGTAATTTTTAAATCCCAAAGGAACACAAGGAGAGAGAAAAAGGGGAAAGGAAGGTGGAGAGAACACCAGGTAAACTGAGCTTTTGAAATGAACTGGCCTCTCGTGGCAATGAGGGGCAGACAGAGAGTATGTAATGAGCAGCAGGTGAGAGATGGTGGCACGGGAGGCTCACGGAGCGTATCAGAGCAAACGGAGACGCTTTAGGAGAGTCAGATGGGTGTCACATTTCCATAGATGATAGAGGTAAGTCAGCAGGAGTCACCAAATATGTTAGATTTTTAGTTACCTTCTACAAAGGATAGTCTCTTATATTAAAAAGACATCTGAGAAGTGCCTGTGACAATTTTCTTCACTGTAATCGTCAATCATCCATCTTGGAGAATGTCTCCCCTTCCACTCACCAGTGCCCCTGTCTTTTCCTCTATACAATCCCCAAAGTTAGTTAGTCACAAATAGTTTTTAGAAGTCATCAAAAGCTGAAAATGGAAAACTATCCTGACCTGCTTAACTTAAAAAACTCCGACACCTCTTGGTGAAGCTGTGGGTTGGCATCATTATCCAGATGGTAGCACTGCTATCCCTTTCCAACTTTTGATTATCTCACAGTCCTTGAAAAGGAGGCCAGAGATAACCAGACACTTCGGATGAAAGGGCGAAGCTTTACCCTAAAAGCAGCTCCCAAAACCAGTCAATGCCAATGGTAATCCTGAGCCAGAGTGTTATCCCCATCAGATCAAACGAGGGACTAAGATGCTGTTTGCCATTAGGCTTTACTAAGTGCTAAGGCCCACCTAGGCTGACAATGTTAGAGTCCTGCTGTCCCACCTTCCAGCAGCTTTCATCTTTTTTCTTTCCCTCCTTCTGTCTCAGAAGAATCTGATCTAACTGGCAAAATCAACTCTATCATTAGCAGCTACCATGACCACAGGACTCAAAAAGCAGCTGAAAGGAGCTTCATGGTGGCTGGTCAGGTCTCAGAACTGCCATCAGACAGCTGGGTGGTACTACTCCTTTTCCAGCAAAGTGACACGCATAGTGACAGAAGCTGATCTTTCTCAGATGTCTTCTGTTGTGCTTTCTCTTTTACTGTGGCTTTGCTTGCTTTGTTTTGAAGAGACAGAATCAAACTTCATCAACATCACCAGCCTGTGAACATCTTAACTAAATCTTTCTCTTTTCTCCTCAAAAGACAACCAATAATTACTACTCCACTACCACTACTACAAGGAGAATTCTCATTTTCCTAAAACAGACCATATACAGTTCTATGTTAAGTAAGAGAAAAGCCTTCTCAATATTCTAAGACCAAGTGCATTCACTATTTTTCCATGTTTGCATTTTCAATAAAAGTATTTAAATGCTTTCAAGCCGATGATTGTTAAAATGCAAAGTAATAACTTGACATGAAACCCTAAACAACAAAAGTTTGGTTCTTTTAAGTCAGTAAGAGTTCTGCTAATGGTCAAATCCACGATAAAGGCATGGTGGGCACCAACCTTCACCAAATTTAACATTTATGTCAGGTTCTTTTGACTTGTCAGCCTTCAATTTTTGAAGGTTATTTTGCAAATCCCACAACATCTCCCATCAGCGGGGATTTCACTGTAACCCTGGCGGGAACAACTGATGGGAACTGCAATGCCAAAGGAATGAGCAAGTCACAGAGAAACGTCTACAGCCTGGAGAGTGAACATGGCTACCTCCCTAGAGCAGCACTGGCCCAGGGGTATTACCTGCTTCAGGGATCCATGGGAGGTAGGGTAGCAGTCTGCCTCCTACGTGGGCCAGCATAAGAAAGCAGTTGGAGAGGCCTCATACCGAGTGAGGAGGATGAAAAGCTGCCGCAGAGAGCCAACAGGCAGCTGCAGCTGCTCGGAGCACAGATCCTTCGTCCCTACCTGGCCACCAAGGAGCAGCTCGTACTGGTTACGCGGTCAAGCTCCGATCTGCACAGAAAACTCTCCTCTGCATCGCTGCCCGAGGCAATAGGGACCCCAACAGTCAACGAGGGCAACATGCCAGTTGCCCTGCCCACCCCATTAGGTACAGAATCCCTTGTAATAAAAGGTTCAGGTAGTAAAATGGCAGAAACTATGGATCTG